AATTTTAATAATATTTGAAAAATCAGAAGATTTCATGAAATCCGTTGAATTAATGAATATTATGCTTACTTTAATTCAGATTCATATGCGTTATTACACTCCACCCTTATTCTAATGAAAAACTTTGAAAAATCATTAAGATGTTTAATTAGGATACACCAGTTAATTTCACTGCAATTTTCAGCACATTTATTTTATTTTAAACAATTATTTAGATGTATCTTATAATCTACAGTAACAACATCCTATATGTTCAATATAATATTTTTTAGTTATTTTTTACTATAGTAGGTAGATTATAGTTCTTAGCATTAATATAGAATTATATTGTACAAATTAGGTAATAGAGATTAAAATTAATCATACTTAAACTAATGAAGTATTAAAAATTTTGTCAATGATATTTGACAATTTATTTCATGAAAAATTATTAGAAAAAATTATCCAAGTTAGAAATACTTGCATTTCTTATTAGTTTATATTTAATTAATTTGACTAACTCCGCTACTTTATACAGCAATTTTAGTGCTTTTGTACAACATATAAACAATTTTATTTTTTTAAGTAAGTAAGTTTATTTATACTCTGATATTTATGTATACATGTAACAGATTCTATAAACATTTAACAATCAATAAACATGATCAATATATTTTATTATCTTACGCATTAAAGTAGCTCGTCACTCTCAGTAGCAAAACTTCTATATAAATATATCTATAATCTATCATTATTAATGTTATAATTTCAAATAACGTTTGTGAGTACTTATTTCTCAAAAATCACAAAATAAAAAAACAAACGCTATCATAGCTTTTATTAATTCCCAACAAATTGTCTAATCTTTGAATGACGATTCCATGTATTTCTAACACACATTTAAAATTGTTGGCTATAAGAAAAAAGCGCAACTATCACTGAAATATATGAAATGGTAATGGTGGTTTTGTGTAGCATATTAGCATTTATCTACAATAACTATTCTTAGAATCATGCAAACATCGTTATTTAACTGGTTTGTTTTTAAATCCATTGTATGTATTTAAATTTATTTTTTAGTGAAACATTTATTTAACATATAACAAATTATATTTGCTAATTGTTTTATGTTTGTCTTTTAGTACATACACTTGAGTTTACACAAGAACCTGAGGATACTATAGTTCAAAGTGGAAAGCCTGCAATTCTAAACTGTGCTGCCAAAAATCCCAGTGCTCCATCTGCTGGTATAGAATTCGATGGCGTGGCCCAGATGGACAAGATCTTAATTTTATTGGAGAGACATATAGGTTGCTAAACTATGAATACTCTTATCATTATTAATGAATTGTCATCTTGTTATATTTATTTAAAAATATAAAGATGTTAATATCATTGAAAGATTTTAAATTATATACACATTTGATTCACCTCAAAAATTAAAAAATGTTCCTAAAATAATTTTGTGATATGAATATGATTTTTTAATTGTCAACATATTTTATATGTATATGTATATATTTAAGTTAAAATTGATAATGATGCCCAATATATTTTTCATAGATCTCAACTCTCAAATGGATCCTTATATTTCAACGCAGTTGTAGATCATCAGGGCTTAACAGGGAATTACCAATGTATGGCAACAGTGGAACCGATTGGAACTATTGTCAGTCATGCAGCAAAACTTAGTATTGCCTGTAAGCATCACAAATAAATATTTCTTTTAATTTAATGCAAAGTACAAATTATAGCTCGATATAATTACTTGTTCCTCAGCCTTTCCAGCTATTGAGTTACATCCCATCGATCAATCTGTGCCTGTTGGTCAGACCGCATTCTTCACTTGCCTTATTGTACCTGTAGATAGGAAGATCAAATATACCTATGTCTGGCTAAAAGATGAAAGACCAATCAAGTTGGACAGTGTTCGCATGACTATTTTACCTTCAGGTGCTTTAGAAATTGATGACATTGTTCCTTCTGATAAAGGATCATACAGGTGTAATGTTACTGATAACAATCAATATAGGTAAATATTGACAGTTGAATACTTTTCTTATTATTACATTATTGATTATTATTTTATATTTATTTTTTAGATTAAGTCATAAAGCTATACTAGAAGTAGAGAGATATGATGATTCAATAGCAGCACCGGTATTCATTGCCTTGCCTCAAACTCAAATAGTAATTGAGGGTGATAGCACAACTTTTGACTGCGCAGCTAATGGGAATCCCAAACCAAGTATAACTTGGTTAAAAAATGGAGAGGCTATTGACCTAAAGTTAGTTTCATTGCATCAAATATCAATGTTTTTTGAAGCCACATTTAAGAGTGTTATTAACTTTTCAATAATATTAATTAATATATTGATAAATATATTTTTTCAGTGACCTGGATAGTAGATTTCGTATTATAGGTACTGGTAGTTTACAAATCCAACATTAGAGAAAGCGATTCAACAGTATATCAATGTCGGGCACAAAATAATGAAGATTCACTAGATGCAACTGCCAATTTAAATGTTCAGGTAGTAAATTTTGCATTTTGAAATACATTTGAACTATCAACGGAATAAATTTGAATAATTATTCTCATATTATTTTAGGTTCCACCTAGATTCACAATAGTTCCATCAGATAAAATTGCTATTGAGAAAGAGGACATAGAACTCGAATGTGCAATCTATGGAATACCACAACCAAAAGTACAATGGTTAAAAAATGGTGAAACTATAAAACCAAATGATTATATGCAGATAGTAAAAGAGTAATTATATTATTATAAGCAGAAGCCTTTTTGATTTAAAAAAATGTACTCAATATTGATATTTTGTAGCAACAATTTAAAAATTTTGGGATTGATGGGCACAGATGCTGGAATATTTCAGTGCATTGGTACTAATCCTACAGGGAGTGTTCAAGGATCAGCTAGACTAAGCATTTTGGGCCCAAGTACGTAATTTATATTTTTATAAATATTTAAAATATAAATATTCTGCTATAAACTCTCCTACTTTTTTATAATTTAACATATTATTTGTACATTAGTACGCTATAAATTATTAGTTTTTGCTATTTAAGTTTTTATTATTTTATTTATTTTTTATATGTAATATAGTTTTTTTATTTGTTTATTTATTTGTTATTTTTTTCTTTTCATCCTTTTACCCATTGGCCTATTAATTTTGTATTCATACTAACATGCATAATCTAGATTCCATGAAATCATTTCCATTACATAATGCACATGATCGAATTAGACAGAAAAATACTGAAAAAATTCCCAATGCACATTCCATATTAAATAGTTTAAAATCTAGCAATTCATTAGCATTGAACACTCGCAATGTACTGAATTCTTTAAAATCAGATGATGATAAATCGGGAGATGAATATGATGATGATTCAAACATAGATAATTTATTATTGAATATTCCAAAGAATAAAAATGTTACTTTGAGTAATGAGAATAGTAGTCTGTTTGGTGAGATCATAAACCATTCCATTTCCCCATTTAATGATCTGGATCTAGATGAAACCCTAAATCCCTATCTCACAAATGAGTCCTTATCCAATGTAGATGGTCATACATATGGAGACATTAATCACACTCCAATCATATCTGGAAATGAAAATGGTTTGCCTGGACCTCCAAGAGATTTGGTAGCTTATATTGTTAAGACTAGGTTTGTTACTTTAAAATGGAGTGAGCCAGAAGAAACAAATGGAAACATTCTAGGCTATTCGGTGTATTATAGACTACAAGGAAGTCAAAGGTTAGATCATAATTATATCACCAATACAAAAAGCATGATGAAATGAATGTGTTTAGATTGAACATTTATATATAATTGTTTTTATATCATATAATATATATTGAATTTTTGTATGGTACACACATTGTTATTAATATACATATATAATTCAGAGAACGAGTACTTCCAACAAAATCAAAAGTTGAAGAAATGGTGGTTGCTCATTTACAGCCTGCAAAAGTATATATGTTCAGAGTAGTAGCTAACAATTCAAGAGGGCCTGGTATCAGTTCACAGGTACTATTACTGAAATCAAAATTCACAACACAGGTATAAATAACAACTTTTGTAGATTTTGGCAGTAACAACTCAAGCAGAAGAAGATGTTTCTGGTCCACCAGTTTTTGTTAAAGCTGAACCTTTAAGCCCAACTAAAATTAAAGTGTCCTGGCAACAACCTACTGTAACCAATGGAGATATATTAAAATACAAAGTTTATTATATGGAGGTAAAACTATGATGTATACATATACATGTGTGTGTGTGAATATTTATATGTATGCCAATAATTATTTATATGTGTATACAATTGTAGGCTGACAGTACAGAGGAGTCTTCTCAAGATTCAGTTGACTTAACTACAGAACTCGTGAATTTGTTACCATATACTACTTACAATATATACGTAGTAGCAGTCAATAATCATGGTATTGGCACATCATCAAGTGAGCTAACAGTTCGAACTTACAGTGATATTCCTACTGAACCTCCTTCCAATGTGACTTTAGAACCTACAAGCACAGTAAGTGTGGTGTACTGCTAATAATTGAATTTTGAATCACTCAGTTTTCTCATTTGTTCATGTTTAATTCATTCAGTCGATAACTGTGCATTGGGAACCCCCTCCAGCTTCTGACCATAATGGTATTATAACAGGTTATAAAATTAAGTACAGAAAATTTAATAAGAAGAAGAGTGAAACTTCTTCCACTCCTGCCAATGTAAGATTTTATGTAATAAATAATTTAGACAAGATGACTGGATATCAGGTACAACAAATTAATCTTACCTTAGTCAAATACAGTATGATACATATATTATAATTCTTTTCAGATTAAACTATGTGCTCTTAATGTAAACGGTTCAGGGCCTTATACCGAATGGCATCATGTTGAGACATATGAAAACGATTTAGATGAATCTAGTGTTCCTGGTGAACCTAGCCCTTTAAAAGGTAAATGAATTCACAATCTTTTATAACAACAATTTACTAGTTTATTTTTTTATATTATTATCGATTATTTTAAATATTTTTGCATCAATAATTTTATCCATTTTATTTAGTACGACCATCATCAGATTCAATAACAGTCTCATGGAATCCACCCAGAGATCAATATATAAAAGTTCGCAGTTATATTCTAGGCTGGGGTAATGGTATTCCGGATGTTTTCACACAAGTTCTTGATGACAATGCTCGATATTTTGTTATAAAAAATTTAGGTATGTATAATTCAGAAATTAAAAAATAAACTAGTTGAGAAACATTTTGCATTAAAGCAAGTTTCATGAACTTCCTGATACATATAGATAATCAACTTAATTAATAAGAATTGAGATTCAGCTATTTAGGTAAAATATTTGAATGTTTATATCGAAAATAATATTTTTAATTATATTATATTTATTTTCAGAACCTAATTGCGAATATGTTATAAGCTTAAAGGCAAGAAATGAAGTCGGTGATGGTCCACCTGTTTACAGCAATGTTAGAACTAGGGAAGAAGCCCCATTAGAAACATCAAGTCCTTTAGTTCCTCCAGTTGGATTGAAAGCTGTTGTGCTCTCTAGTAATGCAGTAGTTGTATATTGGACAGATACCACTTTAAGTAAAAGTCAGGTATGTCATTAGAAATAGTTATATGAGGGAATGAAAGAAACTTTATGTACCAGGCAAACATTGTTTTACAGTATGTAACAGATAAAAGGCATTACACAGTACGCTACACTACTACTGGGAGTCCTAAATACCGTTACCATAACTCCACTGAACTGAACTTGATGATCGATGACTTAAGGCCTAATACTCAATATGAGTTCACAGTTAAAGTTGTCAAAGGCAAGAGAGAAAGCCCATGGAGTATGGAAGTATTAAACACAACTCAGCAGCCCCACCTTCTACACCACCCCGAGATTTAGCAGTATTATTGCCCACAAAAGATAACAATTATGTTACTTTGCAATGGCAACCACCCCGTGTTTCTAATGGACCTATTACAGGTAATAACTTATTTTCATATTCATATTTCAAAATAACTTTTTAAAATTGTGGTTGTTATTTTTAGGATATGTAATTTCCTATTCTCCTGATAATTTACGCAATGATAGGGATTGGTTAGCAGAAGCGGTTGTTGGTGACAAGCATACTATTGTATTAAAACAATTAACTCCAAATACAAAGTATTATTTCAAAGTTAAAGCTAGGAACGATAAAGGATATGGTCCATTTTCATCTCCAATTACGCACTTTACTGATCCAAGTAATTATTGTAATTAATAATTTTAAAATATTTCATATACTTTTTTTTAATTATTGTTATTTACTTCAGTTGAGGGTGAATCTACATTATCAGGAAACATAATTTTATATTGCATTATTGGAGGTTCTGTATTTGCAATTATTTGCTTAATTATTTTCTTGGTTATATTCTGTAGAAGAAATTCAGATCCTAATGAAATGGAACACAATAAAAGGTACGCAATATAAAATTTAAATCAGAGAAAAATCACATTGATAAAGTATTTATTCTAATTTATATTCTTACTTTTAATATAGCTATCAAAAAATAATGCTTCTAATATAAAACCTCCTGACCTGTGGATTCATCATGATCAAATGGAATTAAAGGCATTGGAAAAGGGTCATTCTAATAATTCAGGTATGTATATAGGCATAAGGGGGTTTTCAGGTCTCAAACATTTTTTAAAAATTAATTTGTTTTTTTTTTTTGTTTTTCAGAGTTTAACTATTCAGAAATATGTGTGCAATAGGATTTTTCAAAATTTAAATTCTTTTTGGAGTCAGATGCCAATTTTTTAGACCTATTTTTACACTATCTAGAATTAAAACTTTTATATATTTTTAATTTTAACTTCTCATAGGGTAAAAAAATCGAAATGAAATTTTTTATATATCTTTACGTTATAAAGGTTCCTGAATGAATGTATTGGCATACCTCAGAAAAAATTGATGTATGTGTGTGTGTGTGCGTGCGCGCTGATACAAATTTTTTATGGTCTTTCAAAAATACATAAAATTTCTGCCCCTATCAGAATACAGCCCTTGATATTATTTATGAAAGTAATTTTTTTTTTGTGTTACTATTATAGGTTGCAATGACGGTGCTTCCAGTTCCGGTGCTATGACCTTGCCAAGATCTGTGGGTCATGAATATGATCAATCTCCTTCATCTCATCCACATATGAGCAATTCATTGGATAAGAGAACTTATGTTCCTGGTTTTATGGGTATGATTAATTCCAGTTTGTATCAAGCATTTGTGCCCAATGAAACAAAAATCTTATAGAAAAATTTACTTATTTGCAGTTGCTACTACTCCTGTGACTAGCAGCTCCGAGTCTTCATCAACAAGGCCTACTTATCCCAGAACTCAATACAGTATATCAAGAGCTCATGTCACATTAGATCAAAACAATGTGCCTAGTTTATCTCACACATCCAATGTACCACATATGACTTCAATGGGACTTGGTAATGGAGGCTCTTCACTCACTTCGGGGCAAAACATATCTTCTGTAGGATCACTGCCAAATTCTATTGAAACTTGTAAATCCAATCTACCTCACAATAATTCTGCACAAACACCAGAAAATCCTTACGTTTATGATACAGTAACTTCTAATTATAGGTAACTACACATTAAAAAGAAATATTAGTAACTAAATTAGGGACTTCAAAAATAAACTTAATAAAAATGAATTTTTGTAAATATATACCAAGAATATTTTGCAAATTTTCATATTATTGACATTTAAATTAAATTGTGAATATGGAGTAATTATATTTAAAAGGTTTTTATTTTTACTTTTACAGCCAACCACCAGTAACTTCATCACCATATGCACCAGTAGAACCTAAGAGAGCGCAGGGACATCCATTAAAAAGTTTCAGTGTTCCGGCACCACCCACATCATCAACTCCAAATACTCCTAACACCAAGCATAATGGTTCGTGTTTATCGACATAATAATATATATTAAAATATATTTTACATAATGATAATTATTATTAATTATATATAAAACAATTTATTTTTTATTTTAGCTTCCCAAGGTATTAATCGACCACAAAATGCATCACCATATAAAAAACCTTTAATGATTAATAGACTGCAAGCAGGTATGTACAGTTTCTATTATTCCACAATATATTATAAATAGTTTTCTCATTTAGATATTAAAATTCAAAGAAATATAAAATTTTCACTCTGTTTTTTTGTAGGACCATCAGTTTGTCATTCATCAGATGAAGTTCAACGACTGGCTCCGAGCCACTCAACTGAGGAATTGCATCAAGAAATGGCTAATTTGGAAGGCTTAATGAAAGACCTAAATGCAATCACAGCCAATGAATTTGAGTGTTAAAATTTTATTTATTATGGTACAGTATTTTATGCAAAAGACTGTTAATTTATGTTATATTATAGTGTCATATACATATTGTAATATGCTTGTCATTTAATTATTATAAATGAAGTAAGACGTTTTTTTAAATGTGCTTTTAAATAAAAAAAACATTAAATATACACATGGAACTGTTTGATTACTGTGATTATGTATTAAATAATCACATTAGTAATGATTAAGAGCTAAAAGGACCACCTTAGGTTTACTCTTTGCAAGCTGCATTTAGCAATAAATATCAGGATTAATGGTTGGAGCTATAAGATTTAAATTGGGGTCCCAGGTTTGATAACTGCCTTGGGCAGCTTGATGTCAAACAGTAGTGGCATCGTGTTTTGCTTAGAAATACTTACAAAACTCTAATAAAATATGAAATACAAAAAGCTTATAAAAATGTAGATCTTTCGCTGAGAATCGTAGATAAATTTATAAAGATCTTTTCACTAAAATCAAACAATAGTAAATAACAGATTATTTGCATAAAGAAAATAAGAATTTGAAGACTATATAGAAAAGTGCTCAGGTTATAAGATTTCCTGTACGAAAATAAAATCTCTCGTGGTGAATAGCAATTTGTTATGATGATATATTATTTCTTCATTTATTTAATATGTATTTCTCCTTAAAAAAAATTCAATAAACATATTTATTACTTAACTTCCCGTACAATAAGTTATAGTAATTGCAAAAAAATCAAAAATGAAAATTTCGAGCATATCTTTATGTTTTAAGGTCTTCTGAACATTTTGGAATATCTTAAAAAAAATTATTTATGTGTGTGTGTATATTGTATATATGTATGTTTGGATACAATTGTTCGTACACAATTTTGAGAGCATGGATCAACCGATTTGAATAATTAAAAAACATCCGATTCGTATTGATGGGGAGACGTGCTGATTAGTTTTTGGCAAAAGCAGATCCACTTGTTACGGAGATACGTAGCAAAAAGAGCAAATTGAGAGAACGAAGTGTCGATAATAACCTATTTCAAAATATAAAAAGCATTTAAAACAATTGTTATTAAATATTTTGTATTGATTATCAATTATTTTCATTCTTCGAATGTTTAAATACAGTACGGGCAGTTCCAGAAATTTGCCATGCAGCGCTGCACTACTAGTTTTTATGAAAATATAACAGCGTATATTAACTTCTCATAGGGAAAGTTATAGTAATCGCAATAAAAACGAAAATGAAATTTTTTATATATCTTTACGTTTCGAAGGTTTCTGAGCATTATGGCATACCTTAGAAAAAATGTATGTATGTGTATGTGTGCGCGCGCGTGTGTGTGTGTGCGGATACAAATTTTCGGCGACGATTTTGTGAACACCGATCAACCCACTCTTCTTTTATCTATGGATCAACCGATTTGAATAATTCAAAAAACATTTGGTTCGTATTGATAAGGAGACGTGCTCCTTAAAAAGTGCCAAAAACTTTGTTTTTAAGAGAACGGAACGTCTGATTTTAATAATTCAAAAAACATTTTACTTAAAAAAAGTAAAAAAATGCCATTTTGAGGTCAAAAATGGTCATTAGCCATACGTACATCAGATTATCAGATATTTTATGGAGATTTTAATAATGTGTATCAATTTTGTTTACATTTCTATGGGTCTCGTAACATCGTTTGCTCGTTAGACGGCGACGCGGCGCTTACGCGCTTCGATATTGCTTCTCTATGCAGCTAAAGCAGTGCGATTGCTTTGAAAAAAAGTTCAAAATTTCCAAAATATTTCAAAATAAAAAAAATCAAAAATTTTGTTTCCAAAAAAGTCATTTTTCTTCAAAAATTTAAAATTTCTCAAAAATCTATTTTTTTCAAAATTTAAAACAAATTTAATCATTAAAAAAAATTATTAACCATTTCGTTTCATTAACTTAAAAAAAAAAACTCAACGGCCGACCACTTGTTTTAAGTACTTAATCGCAACTAGCAATTTGAATCATTGAAATAATACATGGGGCCAGAAAACGTTTATTATCACATGGATAAAATTTTAAGCATGAGCTCAACAAACGTCATTGCCGAAATATAGGGTTGTCCACAAACCGCTAACTATAATATTCGATATAATTTTACACTATGTTAAAAACCTGTGAGAATGAAAATTTCACACAAGATTTTCGATTAAAGCGACCGAAATTGTGTAATTAACATTTTTTTGACATTTTTTTATGAAACTTTGTATTTGTATAACATACTATGTAGTATAAAATTACATACTAAAATATTATAGGCCTGCGGTAAGCGGTTGAATTTTTTTTAGAGAATCAATTAAGCGATTCTAATCACAATCTATGTCAATGTCAACGTTTCGTGTTTCATAGGTAGCTATACTGATTACAGTTGATTCCCACATTTTTAGAACACGAAATGTATAAAATGAAATGCGCCGAACAAATTAATTTAATGCATAAAATTACAGATATTACAAGTATTTATCAAAGACATCAATTGGAAACGTTTTTTTTTATTGAAAATGGAATAAACAGTTGAATATTTTATCTAAATAGCTGAATCTCAATTTTTATTGATTAAGTTGAATATGTATGTATACATCTCGGGAAGTTCATGCAACTTGCCTTAAGGCAAAATGCTACTTACAACTAGTTTAAGTAGTCACTTATTGTGCAAATAAAAAACTAATGGGGTGCATGGCATCGTGCCTTAAGGCAAATTGCTGAAACTTTCCGTACCGTAATTAAAAATCTTGGTACGGAACCCAAAAAAATTTACACAAAATGTGTACACATTATTAAAATCTCTATAAAATATCTGATAATTTGGTGTGCATATGCGAAATAAACATTTTTGACCGCCAAATGACATTTTTTAACTTATTTTTATTGAGAGTTTATAACCGCTAGACCTGCCTTCCCAAAAATTTAATCAATTCTTCATCTTGTCAATACAAGTGAAATGTTTTTTGAATTATTAAAATCGAACGCTCCGTTCTCTTAAAAACTGAGTTACCGTCTTTGGCACTTTTTCCCTGTATCTTCGGAACGGCTTGACCTACCTTCGCCAAAAACTAATCAGCACGTCTCCTTATCAATACAAATGGAATGTTTTTTGAATTATTCAAATCGGTTGATCGATGTTCTCGAAATCGTCGACAAACCACACATGCACGCACACACACACATATACACCTATTTTTGCCAAGGGTATGCCAAAATGTTCGGAAACCTCTGAAACGTAAAGATAAATGAAAATTTTCATCTTCGATTTTTTTGCGATTACTATAACTTTACCCTATAGTTAATTAATGATAAAATAGAATTTGACTTTAGAATGAATAGAATTGACTATAAAGCTATTAGAAAAGTATTTTGATTTTTCGGGTTTTTTCAACTTTATTGAGGAATTCTCTAAAACAGCCCATTGATTATAGATTACGAGTTGAATTATAAAGTACGAGTTTATAATATAATATTTTCAAATCAGGTAAAAGCAATGAGACCCATATGTGACCGCTTAAAGGACCCAAGGGTTCATTCATAGATAAAAGAAAAGTATTATTTGAAATATTGAATTTTGATAGTAGTTTCAATTTGCGATTTATAAGTCTTTTCACGTTTTATGTTTTTAAACTTTATGAATGCTAACATTGTGATATTAAATTAATATTAAATCAATAATCAACCGTTTAGGTGATCGAAGTTGTGATGTCAATGTATTCCCAAAGCTGTCAGTCGGACAGCTCTAGTTAGTGGGCACATTTCCTACTGTCACAATGTAACACCGAAAAACAGTTAATTGTGAATTCCACATTTACCCTTTACCATGTTTATAAAGCAGAAGAACGTACGAGGTGGACGTGTGACATCTGTTTTATTTCGGACTGTCCTTATCTCTCAATAGCTGGCAATGTGAATTATTTTATCAGGTGGAATGTTGAAGATTTGACATCTCATTTGAACGATGACACACGAGTACAAAAGTGTTACACAAATCCAATAAAACTGTTTGGATAATGCATATTTACTTTTGTGTGTGATATTCAAAGAAAATGTCAGGAAAATAATTTCAAGTTTTACTTTAGAAGTTTTTCATACTTCAAAAATGACTACGAAAGAACTCTATACAAAGGTAAATTCAGAGGCTATCAATAGTTTTTTACAATTCATTTACTTATAACTCTATCAAATTTTATGTTGAGGGAATATTTTATATTAAAGTACTTAAATATATACTTTCTACAAAAAATAAATACCAAGTATGTTATACAGAAACAGAACCTAGAATTGGATAAATATGTTGATTCAGAATAATTACTATCTAAATTGATGAAATTTATCATTCATCATGATTATGGTAAATTTTGTTATTGAGTAACCTGTTAAAACATGTGAATATCACAAAACAAATAAGCATATATTTTTTTACTTATATTTATATTAACATTGTTGACAATTCAATCAAAATTTTCTGGGTATTTTCAACAACTATGTTATGGTAATGTACAATAAATTATTTTGATTAATTAATTTAAGAATATTGTACAAATTATGCAAGTATACTTTTATATCAGTTTACATCTATTTACATACTCGACTAAGATGTTATGATTATTCTGAATCTGATGTATCCAATTGTATTTAAGTTTATCACTTTTTAACTCTATTCTAAATTTTGTTTTATGATTATCTGATCGGAAACTTATAATATGGAGAACACATCAATTTTTATATATAATTTAAAGTTTATATAGGGAGGGAATATTTTATATTAAAGTACTTAAATATATACTTCCTACAAAAGAGAAAATAACAGATATGTTACAAAGAAACAGAACTTAAAATTGGTAAATATGTTGATTCAGAATAATTACTATCTAAATTGATTAAATTTATCATTTTGTTATTGAGTAACCTGTTAAAACATGTGAATATCACCAAACAAATAAAAATCTATTTTTTTTACTTATATTTTATATTAACATTGTTCACAGTTCAATCAAAATTTTCTGGTTATTTTAT